GTATCGGCGTCATTCATTTTTTATATAGGAAAACCAGCTAAGCAGGTGGCATGGTGGTGGTGGTAGGATTTATCTGGACGAAGGACCAGATTCTGTTGAAGCTACATCGAAGAGAAGGAAGGCGAGGCAACTATTCACTATAAGCCATAAAAAAAGCTAAATATATTAATCTCGACACATGATTTGGTTATATGTAGTTAAAGTTATTGAATATGTTGAGGGAAATATTTGTATCCGCCTTATTTCTGTGTGTAGACGGCATTACTTTTCAAGTAAACAAACAAGAGTGTGGAAGTATATTGGGTTTTCAGAGTTGCATATATGTACATAAGTATGTAAACGTTAATAATATGCGTATAATTAAATGCAAGTTTGAAGTAGCTAGATAAGTGTTCGGCCCCATCGCGAATTTCACATGAACAAATATTCCCAAAAATTATAAAGCAAAACAAAAACAATTTTTCCCAATTTGTTTTTGTTTTGCATGTTAAATTATGGGAAAGATTTATTCACACGAAATTGGCGATAGGGCTGGTTGATTTTTGACAATTTTTTGTTCACGCATTTTCTTCCAAACAAAGTATGTTTGTTCGAAATCTTTTTTTGTATGGAGAAAATCCCCAACACCTTCCACAAAAAAAATTCCAAAAATCGACAGTAAAGCTCGGAACACTTTGACGACTGCAACTTCACGACGTAACGACAGCGACATCATTTTGTCGACAAATGTCGCCTTGAAGCCAGCTTCTTAAACATTTTGAAGACCTCAGCGACATAGCAAACAGCTGGTTTTAAAGTTTGACATTTTGGTATATTTATTTCACAAATTGTGTATTTTTATTTAAGTAAATAAGAAAAACATGAACAATCAAGAATATGTGATGAATTTTGCGACAATTTAATTTTGCAGCACTACATCTACTCATTGTCGCCGGCAAAATTAGAAATAGATTTAATTTGGCGACGTCGACAATTGCAGTCCTGCAGCCAAGATGTCGTGCTGTCGTCAAAATAATTGTGTCCGTAAGAACGTGTGTATTTAAAATTTGACAGATGCTGCTTGTCGCTTGCTGTCGTCAAAGTGTTCCGAGCTTAAGTCCTAATTACTTAAAATTTGCACTTCAATAAAATTGAATGGGCTACAAAACTGCATACTCAGAATGTTTAAAGGAAAAGTTTGAAATTTTTACTAACTAAATAAACGAAAGGGAAAAAGCCAAAGAATGCTAAAATGTCGTTACTGTAAGTATTGTTACGATTATCCTTGAATTAATCGCTGAATACCCAAATCCTTCGGGTTCCTTTCACTTGATTGTTAAATTACACTGGTCTACAAATTTCAACTTTTTTTCTGCGAATAAGACGGGACCTGGTGTTTCTGAAGGGATTTTTCGTGCTGAACACGAATCCGGGGTCAAAAATGTCCCATCACGTCACGTTTTCGAGAAAAAAGGGGTTGAAACCCCTAAAAACAGCGTTTTTGGCCATTTTCGAAAAATTATAGAGCTGAACCCTGACGTGGTACAAATTTTGCATATATCAGAAATTAAAGGCTAAACCGTGCCCTTTCGAATGAGCCCTATGCCGAATTGATCGCGTGCACCCTTAAAGCAGGGGGTGTATTTGTGTTTAGGGGTGCAGGAAAAATTGATCACAGAAAGAATTTAATCTTAAACGATCATAGAAAATTAATAATGCCAAGGTTTTAACTATATTAAAAGTCGCTGATTACGAATCTGCAGTTAGATTTTAAAAATTTAAGATGACGGGTCGAATATGGTGGATATAAAAATTGGACTCCTAGACACAAATACACCCCCTGATCTAAGGGTGCATGCGATTAATTCGGCATAGGGCTCATTCGAAAGGGCACGATTTAGCCTTTAATTTCTGACATATACAAAGATTGTAGCACGTCAGGGTTCAGCTCTACAATTTTTCAAAAATGGCCAAAAACGCTGTTTTTAGGGGTTTCAACCCCTTTTTTCTCGAAAACGTGACGTGATGGGAAGTTTTGGACCCCAGATTCGTGTTCAGCACGAAAAATCCGTTCGGAAACACCAGGTCCCGTCTTATTCGCAAAACCCTTGTAGACCAGTGTTATTTACGTTACAAAAATAATAATAATAATAATAATAGATTGGCGCTTACACATATGTTAGTGTTTGGCCGAGCTTCTCCTCCGACTTGTGGCGTGCGCCTTGATGTTGTCACACAAAGCGGAGGGACCTACAGTTTAACGCCGACTCCGAACGGCGATTGTATTTTTATGAGAAGCTGTTTTTTCATGGCAGAAATACACTCGGAGGTTTGCCATTGCCTGCCGAGGGACGACCGCTGTTTAGAAAAAACCTTTTTCTATATTTTTTGGGATGTTGCTTTGACCAGGGCTTGAACCCAGGTGCGGATGTGTGAATGCGCGCACTGCTTACCACTACACCACAGCGGCCGTTACAAAAATACTTTTACTTTTTAGAAGCTGCAATTTTTACTACATACATATTGTACATACATACATAATTAAGTGAATAGATTCTTGAATGATTATTCGTTATTTAATGTTATTTTTTATGTTTTGTTATTATATGTTTTGTTATATTCAGGTAGTTTTTTTTAAGGAATCGGCATCAGCATCGGCCGATTTTTTGCCCTAAGGCCGATTAAACGGCATCGGCATCGGCCAAAAATTGGGAATCGGTCGGACTCTAATTGAAAACAGTATGTATGTAAGATAGTTTGCAAGATTGTATTGTTCTGGCACGAAATTCTTAAAATAAAAATCTCGATTGTCAACTTTCATGGTGAAAAGCTCTTTTGACAGAAATCACTTGAGCTTTTTCCAAATGGAGAAGTATGCCATTTTCAACATCAAAATTCGAAGCCGACGAGGTAATTGCAAACCCTGCTACTGACAGAGATAAGTGATATCAACCCACTGCAACTATGTACTTAAGTTCTTGAACCCTACATCCTGGATTTGAGAGAAATAACCGACTTCTGCTGGGTTAATTTCAAGCTTTTTTTTCAGGTTAAATAGCGAGTAGTGGTTTTAAAACGGCCCGCATAGATTCTAATTGGAGTTGTTAAACTCTCCACTTCAACCAACCAACCAATTACAAAACAACCATATCATTTTGCTCGCCCTGCTCCAACCGCTGGTGTGCTATTCTAAAAATTCGCGATTCGGAATATAGCTGCAATTTCGGAGCTCACCACATCCCATCAGATTTCTTCATCAAGTTCATTGGGATTTGAATTCGCAACATCGGTGTTCAAATCCAGTGGTCTTACCAACTGAGCTAAGTTCACAATGTGAAGTGCTGTTGCTTTTTCCACTTTTTAACCACCTTCCAAAAAAGGAGGAGGTTATCACTTCGTCGGAATATATATTTTTTTTTTATGTATGACCACGTCACCTGATTTCGATAATTACTTTTGCATCGGATGGTAGTTTCTGGTTTGAATCCGATCATTGGATCATGAAATATATATTTAAGTCGTTTTTGTTTGGCTAAAAATTACTTGTTATTTATTTTTTTCTTTTTTTGAATAGTCAACCTAACTACCAACTGGCTTTGAATACTGAAGTTGCGAGTTCAAATCCCAATGAACTCAATGAAGAAGCCTAATGAGGAGATGTGGTGATCTTCGAAATATAATTTTATATTTTTATCAATTTAAATTTTTAGATTTTAATGCATTTTTGTTATTTACATTAATATTAAAGAACAATTGTTTTTCCTTTTTTTTATTAAATGGTTTTTGTTTTTAACATAATTTTCGTTTGATTTTTATTTTAAAAAGAATTTTTGTTAATTTCGTTTAATTTATAAAAAATTATTTTATTTTATTTCCTTTGGATTTTTAGTTTTCATTGTTTTAAAATTAAAAATATTAATTTTTCTAACTTAATTAAATTTTTAGAAAACCTATTGCAGAGAGGCTTTGGTGAGTTGAAAGACAGTTGCCAGAATTGCTCTGTTTATATAAATGATGGGAACTTCCTTTTGAGGCATTCTGTGCCGTTTGTGTAGAGTTATACCAGAGGAAGCTTTTTCTCTATCTACAGAAAACTACTTCCGAACAGGGTGAATTCTCACTCTTCTTCAGTTAATAGAATTAAAAACAATATTATTATTCCAAATGTCAGAAGGAATAGAGCCGAACCTTGCATCTAAAAGACGTAATTTTTTTCGATATTTTATGCTAGTTTTCCAAATTTATTGTACTTTTCAAAGTTTTGAATATACTTATTTATTGCTACTCAAGTAAACTGTTCTCAGATAGTTTTTAGAATTTTCAAATTTTTTAAATTTTAATTTTTTTAGTTTGTAATTTTAACTATTTTCTTAACACTTACACATATGTAGTACAATTTGCATGCAATGAACGACTAGAACTTGGCAATCACCAACGAGTAACACTATTCTAGTTTTTTCTAAGCTAAATTCTTTTTTAAAATTTTTTTTTAATTTTATTTCTTTTTTTTAATTTTTTAATTTAACCTTTTAAATTAATACTTATTGTACTTAAGTGACATATAAAGTTAAAAGAGACCTTCACTAAACTTTTGTTGAAAAATGGGCTTTGAAGTTACGTCTGTAATTTTTTTTCTCAGTGCGTCCAAGCCGCGGTTTGATGTATTGAAAAGAGCGCAGCTTCCATCGACTATAAGAACCGCTACTATAAGAGCAATGGGGGTATTCACCAAATTGACCAAGTGGATTGCCAGACCTATTATAAGAATAATGTACTATAAGAACCGCTAAAAGATCGATTTTTCGACACGTAAGTCTCTTTTAACTTTCCCTTTCACGTATAATAAATTTATAGTATAACATTAAACTTAACTTTTATGTTAATAAATTATTATTTTATTATTATTAGGCTAATTAAAACTAATTTAAATTCCTTTGTGGTTATCGATTTGTAAAGTTTTCCAAAGTACAATATTTTGCGTAATCGGAAATGCTTAAATACAACATACACATACATACGTACTACTAAAAATGCATCATTGCATTAATATTGAAATTTTCTACATCCTACTGCTGAGGAATACTACAATGAAAGCAGTTAACAAGTTACAATTTGTTAACTTCTCGAATACATTTTTTTTTTTTCAAAATAGTCTACTAATTCCTGTATTTGATTTTTTTCCCACTTGGAGACCACAGAACAGACACTCCATGCTATATCGTACACTCCCTGTGGTCACTTTGCTCCGCCTTCAATCGCTGTCAAGTCTCCACATGATTGAGCAACAGCGGCGTATTGGCTGTTGGGTAAGAGGAGGGCCTACGCTGACGTTGCCAGCTGGTGAGCTCTTCAGCGCTGCCGCAGGAGAGTGTTGATTCCTCGTAGCGCGAATGGTTCGAACCGCCAGAAGAGCGTCGCACGCCTGTATAAGAATCGGTGATGACCTCCAATAGCGCCTCATCGCTGCGTACAAAATTCAAAGTTAAGCTCTGATGAGTCAAATTATTTGAAAATTTTCAACTACCCACCTGTGATACCGATGATGTTCGAGCAGACTGCCAGTGGCGAAGCGCAGTTTCTTCGGCGACTCTAAGCTGGATGAGCGCGTGAGCGAGTTGCGTGGCATAGCTTTATTTTTCAACGACGAACGTATGCCATAGTCGACCATAGCGGACGTTATCTGCTGCTGATTGTTCTGCTTGATGGTGCCCTGTATGAATTTGTTGAGCGCACGCGAGCCGCGTCGTTGCGAGCGTTCATAGTTGCGCTTATTGCGCGCGTCCTCATCCTCGCCCAGCAGCCAATAGGTGCGCTGATCACCCTTGCCCTTCATCGAAATGACACCGCGTTCTTGATAATGATAGCCACCCAACTTCTCCAGCAACTCGCGGCACTGCTGACTGCAGTGTATCTTCAGTGGCACACCGCTGGATTCCATGCGCGAGGCAGTGTTCACAGTGTCACCGAATAGGCAGTAACGTGGCATTTTTAAACCAACCACGCCGGCGCACACCGGTCCGGTGTGAATGCCTATGCGAAGTAGTAGTTTGTTTGTGGGTCGATGACGTATTTTGAACTCGGACACTGCGCTGAGTAGGTGAAGTGACATCGAAGCGATTTCGGCGGCGTGCAGATCGCCATTGCGGATTGGTAGACCGGATACCTGAAATGGGCGAATGAAATTAAGATTTCTTATAAACACTAATGCCTTCGAGAATGTCGGTTATCGTGCTAAACTTCCTACTAGATCCAGCGACACGTTCCTATTGTGGGAATCGAAGAAGCCGGCTTAAAAAATGTCCAAAGGGAGGAAAGAGTAGGCGAGAAGAAAAGTATAGTTGTTTGAGTTTCACGGGGCTTCCTAATACGAAAGTTCTGATAGACAAGTGTTGCCACCTGCAGGTTATCGCGTTCTATTCGAACGACAATCGGCAAATAACGAATATAAAATGAACGTTACCTATTGCAAATAGTTACGACACTCTGGGTTATACATCGAAAGTGTTTTGTATATATGTAGGCAAGTTGCAGAGAAGATATAGAAAATAACCCTGTCAGTGTTTCTTGAGTAAAAGTACTGCGCTTCGAAGAAAATGATTAAGACAACAGCAGAGTCATCTCCTTGAAGATATAGACAGTTTAGGTCTAGTCTATTTAAAAAGATTGGCTGGAGGGAGCTATAGATAAGCAAAGAAAGAATTTAGAGTAACCTCTCCTAGACATTAATTTTCTATGAGTGATGTCTTCATGCGCGGAGGCATGGACAATGAAAGCATCTGATCAGGCAGCTCTTGGAGTTTTCGAGAGAAAGATTCTGCGAAAGATTTACGGACCTTTACGCGTTGGTGATGGCGAATATCGCAGACGATTTAACGATTTGCTGTACGAGCTTTACAACGATATAGACATAGTGCAACGAATAAAAATTCAGCGGCTCCACTGGCTTGGCCATGTCGTTCGTATGGACAGAAACGGTCCTGCTCTGAAAATATTCAACGCGGGCCGCGATGCTGGTAACAGAGGAAGAGCAAGGCCTCCTCTGCGTTGGAAAGACCAGGTGGAGAAGGACTTGGCTTCACTTGGCATTTCCAATTGGCGTCAGTTAGCACAGAAGACTAATGACTGGCGTGTTGTTTTGGACTCGGCCAAAATCGCTTAGGCGGTTACAGCGCCAATAAAGAAGAAGAAGATGTCTTCAATAGCAGCCCATTTTTTGATTGCCGAACGTTTGTGTAAAAGCTTTGGAGATGAACAAGAACCTAAATCCTACACTTCGTAGAATGTACTTCGGATTACAGGAAGGTCATTTCTTCAAAGACACGGACAGTCTAAGCGTGGCTTTACTGAAAAGCCTGACTGGATTCGTCGAAAGGTCGGAATTTTTTTTGGAATATGTGAAGAAAGGTCTTGTGGGTAAGTTTCCGAAGCGCCTGTTTTCCCAAATATGAGCAAACCGAAACACTTGAACTCGATTTAACTACCCCGTAGGTTCATTGTCTATCTGCACCTTCAATTTTCTTACTCACCACCATGTATGCGTCCCCAATTGTCTCCACTTTATACACATCGTAATGTCCGATTATGGAATCAAAACAGGTATACAAGTCGTTCAAGAAGTCCACCACCTGCAATGGTGTGCTCTCCGCTGACATTGCGGTGAAACCCACAATATCACTAAAGTATATCGACACGTGCTCATAACTCTCCGGATCTACTTTGTTGCCCTTCTTCAGCTGCTCCGCCACGGGGCGTGGTAACATTTCCAACAACAGCGCATCAGTCTTCTTCTTTTCCTCTTGCAACTGATCGGTGCGCTCATCTACGAGCGCTTCCAAGTTATTTGCATACTTCTCCATCATAGCCATCATATTATCGAAGATATTCGGTTTCATACCCTTGCGTAGAGGACGCAATTTGGCGCGTATTGTTTTGAAGTCCGGCCGGTCTTCGGCGCGTTCAGACCAACATTCGCGTAGAATTTCACGCACGCAATCGAAGGAGGTCTCCAGCGGTTGTAGCGACGGCCGATAGGGGTAGAGATGATCTTGCGGTTGGAGCACTTTTTGTAGGCACTGCATTGGAGTGAGACCGGTTTCGCCGAATGGGCCGTGACGTACGTGAATTTCGTAGAGTACAATGCCAAAGGAGTAGGAGTCACCTTTCTGCGTGCCGGGCACGAGTGTGGCGGGTCCTTGCCGCAGCAGTTCGGGTGAGCGGTAGAGTAGCTCTGTGGAGAAAGGGAAGGAAATCAAATAATTTCGCATGCTTCAAAAGTTACTTAACATTGACGGCAGCGAAAAAAATAAAATTTCTTAACATACTTGTACACTTAGCTGTCATGTTTGGCACTTCCGTTGAGCTATCCTCCATACCCTTTTTGAAGGCGAATAACCCGAAATCGGTCAGTTTAACCACCCAGCGTGAGTCGATGAGGCAGTTGGAGGTGCATAGCGAGCCATGAAAACGAATGGGCGATTCATGTAAGTAGATGACACCCTGTTGTGCGTGCGATATGAGAATAGAAAAAAAGGAGTGGAAGTAGTATTTGAAATGCGTACAAGTCATTTTGTAGGAAATGCTTTGAAAATCGCTGCAAAAATGTAGCCCACGGCAAGTGTGTGTGTGTGTGTGTGTGTGTGTGTGTGGCAGTGCAGAGGTTAAACTGCGATATTGAACTTACGCGTATAATGTCAGCGACCATTGAAGCAATAAACATGTTGTCCAGCTTGACGTCCTCATTCTCCAAGATATCCTTTGGGAAAGTTTTGTATAAAAGGAAAGAAGTGGAAAAGAATCATAAATTAAATTTATAAAATTATTCAGAGAGAAGAACTGAGATGGTAAATGGTAAAAAAGGATATTCCATGAGCGTATTAACTTCATTGAGTGGAAGTGGAAGTAAAAGTGAGCAGGACAATTTGGATTATTTCGGCTTAGCGAACTTAATAAATTTTAGAATTTTCTTAACCACAATTATGTATGTTTTCTTTTCTATGGGATAGTGTTTGGCACTTTCGGCTACCTTAGCCTTTCAAGCAATGCGGTTAGCTTTTGCCTACTGAGAGACATCATAAAAAATAAACTAAGCATTTTAGATGTTACGTGTACTACATATACATCAATAATTATGCATAAGGATAGTTCAGAAAATAGCAACATCATGGGGCACCACTTAATATTGTTCTACGTACATAATAATGTTATTCACGAAAATTTCAAAATTTTAGGCAAATTTTTAGGGGTTGTTAACAGGATTTGCAAATATTGTTTTTTGTTAATCCTATAAACTTGACAGAATTCTTAATTTGACTAGCTATAACTTCGCAAGTTTATGCATTCATTTGAATAAGTTTCCATATTATGCCAAATTTATCAAATTTCAACCCAAAATTTTGTAAAATTTTTGCGATTAAACAAAAATATATTTTTTTTAATTTGTTTAAAATTCGGTGGATGTCTTTATTTTGTACCTTCAACAAAATTTAATTTTTTTTTAAATCCCAAAAGCTCAACAAAATTCTGTATTTCCAAGGCAAGGGAAGGTAAATAACAAAAAATCTCTCAGTAGACGTGTCGGTGCGTGTCTGCTACAATTAAACTGTGTCATTATTATTTACATATTTATTTGTGAAAAACTGAAATGCATGCAAGTATTTATTATCCTTTCGACGTCCATTTAGTTTTGCCTCATTTCTTAATCCTCTCTTGAGACCTCCTTATCTCCCCAACCAGCGCAAAGCAACACTGCGCTATTTTTTGCGATATTACAACTTACTATGTACTACCACCAAGTACTAACTGCGAAGGAGTAGGAAGGAGTTTACAGTACTTTAGAACTTACCTTCAAGCTGCCTCTTGTACAATACTCTGTAATGATGCAAATGTTGGGCGGATCTGTGCAGGCACCAATGAAAGCGCATATATTGTCGTGGCGTGTATCGCGTAGCTATGTAACGGTACATGAGCACAAAATGGATAGCGGAAGCCCACACAAAAGTAGGCGGTGGTGGTGGTGGGAGTTGTTGTGAGGTGATGAGTTGACGCCGTTTGCATTTGACAACGCAACGTAAATCCCAGAACAATATTGAGTTGTCGAGATGGTATGTTGCATCAACCGGACGGACGGAGTTAGAAAGGCGGAAAACAGAAACAGAAAAGAATAAAGAAGTTTAAAAAATGCTATGCATTACTTAAATGTCAGCTGCAGTGAAGAATTTGTAAAATAAAGGAAAGTTGGAGTGAATTTAAGAAATTAAAAATTAAATTAAACGAAATAAAATAACAAAATAAATTACGGCTCTATTCTACATACATCACTGACAAATTCTGGTCACAGTCTTTATTGCGGAAAAATATATGAAAAAGTTTAAATTGGTCAGTAAAAAAGATTTTGTCACCGATACAAAATTAGGCTATAAAATTAGGAATAAATTATAAAACATAATTAAATAAAAAAAAAAAATATAAAAAATATGATAAAAAAATGAAATAACTGGAATCAAATAAGATAAGTTAGTTAACAAAAAATAGAATAAAAATCAAGCTTAGTAAGTAAAAATCATTTTAAAAAATCCAAGAATTTACAATTATGTAAAAAATAATAAAAAACACTATAAAAATTAAATTACATGAACGCTAAACTACATCAATATTAAAAAATATAAAATTGAATATATAACGGATAAGTAAAATAAAACAATTAAGTTTACAAATAAAATAAAATACAACTCAAAAACAATAAAAATCGATTTAAAAGCATATGTCCATACGAATAAATGAAGCGAAAACTAGAAGCAAAGAACCTAATTAGTTAAAATTTAATTAAATAAATAAACTAAAAAAATTAAATGAAATAAAACTAGCTAAATTAAAAAATAAAAATCTAAAAATATTACCAAATAATATAAAAACAAAAATATTAATTGCATTTAAATATGCAGTCAAAAATAGCGAAAAAACAAAATGGATTCAAATTAAATAGTAATTACCTACTAAATTTAAAAAGTAAAAAAAGCTAAAAATATAATACAAAATAAAAAATGGAATTAAAAATAAACACTGATTTTATTTATCAAATTTAAAAATTTCCAAAATAAAAAAAAGAATAAATGAAAAAATAACCTAATTAAAAAATAAATATTATTAAATTTAATTTAAACAAGACTTTAAATAGGACTAAACATTTTTATGAAATTAAAAAAAATATAAAGCTATGAAAAAATAAAATAAAATAAAATCTTAAACTAAATTACAAAATAAATAATTAAGCAAAAATGTGTATAATGAACCAATATAATAAAAATCAAAAATAATACATAAAGAACTGATTCAAAAATTTTATGGAATTAAATTAAATTAAGGAAAAATAAGCAAAATTAAACCTTATTGAAATAAAAAAATATGAATTATATGCAAAAAATAAACTTAAATGGAAAAATGATATAAAAATTAGTTCAATTAGTTTAATTAAAAATAAATAAACAAATAAGAGAACGAATAAATTAGATAAAATAAGACCCAAAATTAAATAAAAATAAATAAATTTAATCAAATATTGAACAGTATAAAATATGTTAAAAAATATATATATTAAAATATATACAAAATCTTATTGAACTAAATTACATAACAAACAAAGCAAATAAAAAGAGAATGTATAAATAAAATAAAACAAATTAAAGCAATTAAAAACAAAATGAATAATTAAATTAAGAATTAAAGAAGGAAAGCAAATAACATTACAATGAAAATTAATTTAATTAAATTAAATAAAAAACTAAAACAAAAAAAATAATAGAATCAATTGAAATAAAATAGACGCAATTTAAAGCATTGCAGTTTGTTGAAGAAAACTGATTTTTTTCAATTTTATATGACTTTTTTAAATATTGCGAAATTTTAAGTTTTATCAGTTTAAGTCAGCCGAAAACAGGCATCCATATCATGTATATATATTTCAAAGTTGAAATTAATTGTTCACTAATGTAGCTAGTCAACCCGCACACTTACCAGCTTCAATTCCTTCTTCATTTCACGCGTTATATCCACAGATTTCTTTCGTACTTTTTTGATCGCATACAACTGATTTTTGTAGAGCCCGATCGGCGTAAAAATTGTGGTATAACGAAAATCAGCATCTGGATTAGAGCTTAAGCTCACCTGGCTGGTGCGTATCAGCGGATGTGTGGACTGAAACATTGAATATAATAATTGAAAATAAAATTAGAAAGTTTAGAAAATATGGTTAACGAAAAAGCATTATTAAATTTACAAATATTAAAGACTTTGGGAGCTTTATCTATACAAAGTACTTATTTAAATTGGGTTTACACAATTGGAAGGATTCACTTAGAAATTTAAATTAATAAATATTAGGTGGAGGAAGTTTGCTAACATTGTATCTAAATATTTATGTTTATATCTTCATAATCCCTTTTGAAATCACAATAGTATGTATTGTCAAGTGCAGTCGGACGGACGTCTGTAGCTTGCAAGTGTTACGATAATAATAGCACCAGCAGCAGCTGCCACAACAAAAGCAACAACAGGAAGAACAATACGCATAACTACACAAACAGCGCAAATAATACTAACATTTGTTAGCAGTGTCAGGGAAGGAGGATATCATTATGCTAAACGTTGTCATGTTACTGCCGAGTTCCCTTTTCATCAGGACATCAACACAGGAAGCTGTTGCGTTGCATAACTACATGTGTGTGGATGTGTTTGTTAGTTTTTTTTTTTGCTGTTATTATCTCTGTGTCTGTTTTCGCTCAAATTGCCATTTTGGTTGTCCTATTCTCCTAGCAATCATTGGTGCTTTTAAACATCTCTTCGATGCTTTTATTTGACTATATAAGTGTAAGGGTAATTTTGTTATTTATGAAGCATTTACCACCTCCGATCACAAAGAAATCTTAAAAATTGTATTAGTAAAAGCCGCTAATGCGGTACCTAAACCGGTGATAAAGGCAAGCAAATAAAACTTTTGCTTCAAAATGCGTGTTATTTTCGAAAATGGGTGTCATATCATGTACAGCTTTTTAAAACAATTTCTTAAATTTGCAATTTGTTTCAGGTAAAAAACAGCCGCACTTCCTTTCAAAAGTCGAAATTCTATAACACAAGTTCGTGAACTAAAATTCAATTTCGAATTTTCAAGCTAAGGTTTTCAGCTTCGAACTTTCGAACATGAATTGAATTTAATTTGAGTTCAGACTCAAATTTTTTCTCTTCGAATTTTCGACCCCAATTTTTAAATTTGAATTTTCGATTTGAGATTTTCGAAATCAAAGTTATAACTTAGAATTTTCGAACAAAAATTTTTGACTTGGAATTTTGCAATTTATGTGTTCAAACGATATTTTGAACTTCGTATTTGAACGGAATTTTTTTATTTCGAATTTTCAAGTGAGTGTTTAATTTTGTGTATTCGAACTGAATTTGTTTCATGTTGAAATCATTAGAATCACAGTCAAATTTTAAATTTTCGAGTTCAAATTTATGGCCTTTTTTTAATTCTAATTTTTCTACATGACTTATCGCACCACCATAAAGTTCTCGACTTCGAATTTTGATGCTTGAATTTGTGATCTAGTATAAAAAAGATTTTTTAATTTCGAATTTTCGAAAAACATTTTTTAATTGGAATGTTCGAACTGAAATTTTTTTGTATTGAATGTTCGAACTAAAGTTTTCGATTTTGAGTTTTCGAACTCAAATTTATGACCTCGCATTTGCTGAATTGAACGTTTGAAATTAAATTTTAAGGTTTTGTAATTTCCATACATGAGTTTTCGCACTACAATAAAATTTTCGCGGTTTCAAATTTAAATTTGTGACCTATGTTAAAAAGGATTATTTTGTTGCGAATTTCCTAAAAACAATTTTATTTTGAATGTGCGAAAGGGGATTTTTTTTTACTGATTATTTGAATTAAGATTTTCGACATTGAATTTTCGAATAGGAGTTTTCGATCTCAAATTTACAGCCTTGAATGTTTGAACTGAAATTTTAAGGTCTTATAATTTTTCAACCTGAATTTTCAAAATTATATTTTTAACTTAAAATTTAAATTTTTGATCAAGAAGCAAAGGCTTTTTTTTTTACTTCGAATTTCCGAAAAACGTTTGAATTTGAATATTCAAACTGCATTTTTTTTTAAATTGATTGTTCGAACTTTGAATTTCCGAACTAAAATTTACGACCCTGAATTTCCCAAATTGAATGTTTGAACTGAAATTTTAAGAATTTAAGTAGGTCATTTAGATTAATGTGCATTGGTAAAGAAGCATATGTCCATACGAATAAACGAAGCGAAAATTAGAAGCAAAGAACCTAATTAGCAGCATACCCAAATTATGCTTTGAAGACTACATAATTAAAATCTAATAAGCTGGCATTTCCAGCTAACTAAAATGCTGTAGCACAAAATGCCGTAAGAACGTTAAATTAATCAATCTTATTCCATATCAAGCGCAGATGAGACCCACCCACTCTATTATGTGTGTGTATATGTATTTCGGAATTTCCTCCCCTTACTTGCATGCAAGTTTTTATATATATATTTTGGTAAGTAATTATGTATGTGGTATGTGTGTATGTACTCACCCTTGTTTGTTTTTGACTAGATGTTTCCTTTTCGCTTTCATGCATTTGCACTTCACGAAAATCAATTTTCCACAACAAACTATCCAATTCCTGTTCATAGCGCCAATTACGATACAAAACCAACGATATAATACCGAGTAGCAGCAAAGCACCGCCAGCAATACCAGCTGATATTTCGCCTGTATAACCTGAAATATATATACATACGTATATGTATATGTGTATGAATATGTATGTGCATGCCTAATATTAAGGTAATAAGGCTAATTGACGGCATCCATTTACTTACTAATGCATTTCTCGCCCGCAAAACCGCATTTTGGCTCCGCTGCCGGTCGCCCATTTGGGCTCACCCAATGGATTTTGCCATATAAATTGAGATCCTATTTGAGAGTAA